ATAAACAAAAACCCTCTTTTTAAAGTTTAATTTGGACATTTCTAGCACAGAACAGTTGAAGATGTGGTGTAGGATTCCTACTTCCCTGAATATGGTTAAGGCAGAACCTGACCCACTCTTCTCCCACCAACTTCATTTCACTCTAGGTCATGTTGGCTTCAGATGGAAAGGAACCCAGGAGATGGTAGGTTTTGCTGTTTCGGACAGTCCCACTCTTTTTTGTTTTAATTTTTATCTTTTTAGTTGTAGATGGATACCTTTGTTTAATTAATTTATTTTTATGTGGTGCTGAGGATCGAACCCAGTGACTCACACATGCCAGGCAAGCACTCTGTCACTGACCCACAACCCCAGCCCCAGACAGTTCCACTCTTAATGCTGTTATCCCAAACACATTTAATTGCAAATTATCACAAGAATTAAGGATCACTCTTAATTTCTTAAAGACAAATACTGAAAAGTCAAAAACCTTCTCTAATCATACTTCCTTAATATTTTAATATTGTGTTAATGTATTAATATTATTGTGATATAATATTAATACAGATCATTAATCAAAAATTTCAAGCTATTTTTTAAATAACACATTACTTTTTTATTTTAAAAACCAGTGCTCAGTCTAATTGTGAGTCATATCAAGGGCTGTTGAACTCTTTTAATCTCCTGTCAGTGATGAGTGAAGGGTAGTTTCATACTTGTCTCAGACAGATTGAAAATCAATAGGCCACAAAGATTTTTAATTTGTTAACTATTGTAGGAACCTGAAAAAAAAAGTCACAGTTGGTTGATAGGTAAATCCAAAGATCAAATATACAAACCCATCAAGAAAGCCAATTTAGTTGGCTTCATAGATTAAAAAAAAAAAAAAATAGCTTTTCCACAATGGGGAAAAGAAATGCATTGAACTTCTATGGTACAAAAATCATTTGCATATCATTATACACAAATTATTTGCATTCTATCTGAATAGAGTTGTAAAATAGTTTAATGACAAAGACAAGAACTCCATAGAGTCAGATAACTTTAAAGTTTATGTGCTAGACAATACATAGTTTTTCATTAAAGATACCATAATTTTTAAAAATCTTTTTTGGTCCATTTAAAAATATTTTACATTTTATCTTTACATAACTAATGTTGAAAGGTAAATGTTGACTAAGGACATATACTTATTTAAATCTTATATTTTGTACCATAAATGACAGCATGCAGAAAGTACCTGCATTGGCCCAAATCACTAAAAAGAAAAACCATTATTAAAATCCCAGTTCAATTTAACTTTATTGGTGACAGCTATAAAAAGTTTTTTTTAAAGTGCTTAACTGAGCCTCCAAAAATAAGATTTGTCTTCTGTGGAAAAGGATTGAAGAAAAATATAGGTGCATTATTTTTCAGATTCCATTTAACCTTGCCAATTAGAACCTTTAAAAGTATTTAAAACACTCATATGAAGGATTTAAAACAGATTGTATCAAGTCAGCTTGAACTGATTAATTATAATTGCTTATCAAATGTTCACTTTAGCAGTTTGTAATATAGATTTCAGAATACAGTTAGTAAAGGAAATCCAGGATAAGTCAGCTTAAATACACACCACTGAAATTTAAAGTTATTTGGGCACAATTGAGTTTTTCCCTTAAAGTTGCCATTGATGGCACTGAAATACTGTCAGTCACATTTACAAGAAATAGTTTCTTAGGCTGGGGATATAGCGCGTGCGCTTGCGCGCGCGCACACACACACACACACACACACACACACACAAATAATTCTTTGAAGTTATTGTCTTTCACCCTGAAGTAAACATAATTTTCAGCAACAGCCAAAGATAGTGCATAGTGCTGGTATTCTCAATGATTTTTTCCCCCAGAGTCCCCACAGTGAGAGCCTTAAATGTTTTTATTGTGGGTAACTTGAAGTATATGAGAAAACTGAAGCTCATCTGTTTCTTGTGTGCCTCACCTGGCCTTGTTAATAGATTACAGAATTCCACTTGTTAGTACCAGTGACACAGGAGAAATTTTTACTATTATGCTATTTGGTAATGATAAAGACGACAGAAAAAGTCTTTTTATGGTAATTAGGTCCTCAAAACAACTCTTCATGTTTGCTGATAAGGAGACACAAGTTGGCTGTTGAACAGAGGTACAGTAGCTTGTTATCTACAGAGTTGATACTGCCTCCTAAATTCCCTGGCTGTGACAGGAACTCATCTGAAGTGAAGGCTTGCAGAGCCAGTGATACTGGAGTACTTTCTTTCCCCATAATTAAGTTAGCCTTTCTCTTGCAGAAAAAAAAAAAAAATTCACATTTTTTTTAAACAAAGGCTGTATTATTTTTTCCTCTGTAGGTTTAAAGAGATATATACTTGGTGATTGCTGTTTGTAGAGAGTTCAGTGATAACATTTCAGTATACCAAGAGGGACAAAACTGAGTTAACTAGTCTTTTATGATATGTGAAAATTAAGAAACAAGCATCCAGTGATTAAAGACTAGAATAAATCATTCCTTTCATTATAATATCTGTGTATAGGTACTTGTTATATTTGGTCTGTTTCTCAGTTATAAGAGTTCAATGTGTTGTTCATTATTCCAAGTGTTAACATTTTCAGTGCTGATAGGAGCTTGCAGAAATTTGGCAGGTAGAACGTGCTACCATGGATGGGGTGGGTAAAGGTCTCCATCCCTTAGTGTTCTGAACAGCAAGACCTTTTATGGCTAAGTAAACATAATGTCCATGCAATTAGATTCACAGAGCTTGGTGCCATGGGACAGATGTTAGGGAAAAAGATGTAGTGTTCACTATATGTTCTTGTTTAGTAATTGTGTTTCAGTAAGAGCTTCAGGCATTGAGTGGCACATTCCAAGAAAGTTGAGAAGCTAACATACCTATAGTAATGTTGCTTATGATTTTCTTCAAGCATACATAAATTTTAAAAAAAATCAAATCAAATTTTGAAATAATTTTGCTTTGCTGGGCATGGTGGCACAAGCCTATAATTCCAGTGGCTTGGGAGACTCAGGCAGGAGGATTGCGAGTTCAGAGCCAGCCTCATCAAAAGTGAGGTGCTAAGCAACTCAGAAAGACTATGTCTCTAAATAAAATACAAAATAGGGCTAGGGATGTGGCTCAGTGGTCGAGTGCCCCTGAGTTCAATCCCTGGTAACCCACCACCCCCACCAAAGAATCTGGCTTTGGAAAAACTAAGAAAAAGTTCTTAAATTTTGATGTACTGTGTTTGCATTCTACTTTCTTAAGATTAAAAAGGGAAAAAATAAACAAAATGTTTGTAAGTCAAGTTTTAAAGGATACTAATATGTATTATGAATTTAAAATATATATTAAATCTAATTTAAATAATTTGTGACGAACTCATCTAGAACTAGTTTATCAAACTTTCTAATTAGGTAGGCCTCAGTAGAAAATTTTAACTTCTTAATACTTTTGTGGAGTTGGTTGGAAAATCAACAATCTCAAAACTATTTAAGTTGTTGAACCCAGTAATTCTACTTTAAAATAATACCCAAGAGTATTTTTTAATTTGACATTATAAATGTAAATGAACATTTGAATAGCTAACATATCTATAGTAATTGTTGCTTACGATTTTCTTTAAGCATGTACAGATTAAAAAAACAATAAAATCAAATGTAAATGAACATTTACATTTATAAATCTTCAAATCCTTGATTTTTTGTTTTATTTTGATGGTACGAGGGATTGAACTCAGGGTTACTCAACCACTGAGCCACATTCCCAACCCTGTTTTGAATTTTATTTAGAGACAGGGTCTCACTGAGTTGCTTAGCGCCTCACAGTTGCTGGAGCTGGCTTTGAACTCGCAATTCTCCTGTCTCAGCCTCCCAAGCCTCTGGTTTACAGGCATGTACGTACCACTGTGCCCAGCTCCAAATCCTTGATTTTTAATTCTTTTAATTTTAGACAAGTTGTTTTATGGTGATTTTAAAGTTAAAGAAATAGAAAACTAACCATCTGCTATATTTTTACAACCCAGTGTAAAAAAATGTCAGTATGCTCCAGGGGGAAGCTTTAACAACACTCAAGAAAATTCTGAAGAAAGTCAGTTCAGTGGATTAAACCAATCTATGAAGCAGCTCTGTAGATTGAGCTAATAAAAGGGAAAGGGGTGCATTCCATATAACCCTGGAATGCAAATTGTAAAAATATGTAGTCAGTAATATATACATCTTCATACAAAAGAACCATAAGTCGCATATAAATATTAGACTTGAGCTTTTATATTTTAGAATTTTGTGGGAAACTGTTAACATTCAAGAAGAAATTAGAAATGAAATTTTTGAGATTCTGGACTAATTTCTAGTGACTGAAATAAATTCTCATAGGCAGAAAGGAAGTCAGTAAATAAAGTTGCTGAAATGCTCAGTGCACTATAACTTCTCAAAGCATCATTTTGGTAAATTTCTAATTTATTTCTTTATAAATTGGCTCTAGCACTTAAGTTGATCAGGTTGTAATCACATTCTAATTGTTAACCGTTAGAACATTGTGAAATTTATATTTTTTAAGAAATTCTAAAAGGAAGAATCCAAACAAGTCAGTATTCCTTTTATTTTAATGTACAATTGAATTAATTTTATGTAGGTCTTAGGTTTACCTTACTTGAAGAATTAGTACTTCTTTGATCATTTGAAAACCATTTCAGTGGCTCTTAAATAATTCAGTTCATTCAATCTGTGCTCTCTTAATAATACAAAAAAAAAAAAAAACAACTCATGGAAAGTTAGCATTATTTGTGTGTGAATTTTCCAATTGTATTTCAGACTTTAAGAAAAAAAGGCCTTAATGGTTGTGAGAGCCCTGATGCTGACGATTACTTTGAGCACAGTCCACTCTCGGAGGACAGATTCAGCAAACTAAATGAAGATAGTGATTTTATTTTCAAACGAGGCCCTGTAAGTACTTTCATTTTACCTCTACTTTTTATTTGTTGATCCTTTTTGTTAACTTCATTATTTAGGCTCTGAACAAGAAGGAACACAGAGGGTGCGACAGCCCAGACCCTGATACTTCATATGTGCTAACTCCACATACAGAAGAAAAATATAAAAAAATTAATGAGGAATTTGATAATATGATGCGGAATCATAAAATCGCAGTGAGTACTAAAGTATGGTTTGTGCTTATCTTATGCATGAAGAGATTGATCCGACATCTTAATTATTTTTACAGTGAGTTATGATAATAAATAGAAGGGGAAAAGAAGGTATTTTATTAACCTTTTTGCTCTATATAAATTTAAAATTTGCTGAAATCTTATAATAGTTTATGTTCAGCGTCTTTAATGTAGAAGTGAGAACATTCTAATTCAGGCTTTGCTACTTACACGCCCTTATATCTTTAGATGGGGCACCTAAACATCCTGAATTCTACTTTCTTAATCTATACAGTGAGTGGCTTTGCTCATAATTTTAAGATCCCTTCCACTTCTAAAATACCATGTTTTTTAATAAAGGAAATAAATAAGACTTTCTTCTCTTTCCTATGAGTTAAAACATATATGTTTTATATATAAGACATAAGATGTGGGATTAAATAAATCTTGAGAATGCCAAATATTTCTAAATTTTTAGAAATTGTTTTATATAGTTGCTTTAACATTAGTAGAGCTGAGTTTACTGTCTGGCATTTTGTAAAAGTCTCAGAAGCACTTGGCATTGATACCTTCAAATTCCTGTCATAACTGATTCTGGTAATAAGGAAGAAAGGCTTGGATTAATTTTAAGTTAAGGAAGCAATGTTCATAAACTGGTTGTAAAATAAATAGTCACTTTAAATTTTTTTTCTGTGCTCATATAACTAACCATAGTGAAACAGTACTTTTTTGAGCTCATGCTCCTGGACTTAATAGATTTTCAGAGTTCTTCTCACTGAAAGTTCCATAGTGAGAGCTTCTTAAGATTGTTATTCTGGATCTGATTTTCTAATTCTGTGTATGAAAGTATAGCCTTCGTGAGACAAATGGTTCCAATGCTGATATTTATTTCATTGTCAGAGCTAATTCTCTTAAAACAATGCCCTAAAGTGTACCTTATAGATAATTTTTTTTCAAAGTAGTCCTATAAGAATAAGCTCAAGAAGAATAACTTTGAGGAGGTATGCCATTAGTCTTAAAACAACACCAAAGAAAAACCCTTCTGATCTCACAGGGATGATGATATTCTTGCAGTTAGCATTAAACTGAAAATTGTTCTATTTTTGAAAAATATTTCTCATTGTTTTATATTTGTTGATGAATTATTATAATTTTCCCACCTGAAATTATTGAATAGAGTACATAAGCTATTTGTAGTCTTCCAACTTTGAATTAGCAGTGCAATTTTTATTATGCAAATCACTGTTTAAAATGAAAGGAGAGGAAACTGCCTCCCCACACACTTTAAATTATAAGGAGGACTTATTTATTGTGGTCAACAGTATATTGTAAATGGTTTATGGAAGAAATGGAACAGGAAAATAGAAAATATCCTTTTAAAATGGTATGAAATAATTTGGTGGAATAGAAGATGGCATTTTTAATATTGTAATTTAATCTTCATACAATTTAAGGAAAATACCAGAAAACTCATTAATATCTTATCAGTAATTAATTTTGTTATTTAGGTTGTTTCTATGCATTTTCATTACACTCAGATTTCATTGTGTTATAATTATTTGTTTTTTTCTTTAATTTTGCCAATTATGAATGTCCATCAGTCAAATCAGATTGGGGCCTCATTATAATGTCCCGTTGCTGTATTAAGTTAATAATTATGTGTACACTCTTGCTCCCTTTTGATATATTTGGGATCTCTCAATAGGAATGTAATGATATTAAACTGGTTCGCATCAAAGTGATAATTAATGCTTACTTGGTAATGACAGTGATAAATTTTGTAATGTCTAAATTCAGCAGTAATACTTTAATATCAGGTTTTGACTTCTAATTTTCATCTCTATGAATATTTGAAATATAGAATATATACATTGTAGTATACATTAAATATAAAATTGAAAATGTTCATGTCAAACATATTCACATTCAAATATAATTCTAAAGAAGACAGCTTTAAATCTGCATATCGATTAAGACTGTTCCCATCCTCCATTTGTAATAATTTGAGTTACCCTGTCAAATTAAAGTTCATAAATAAGTTACTTAATGTAGGTGAAAATAAAACTAACAGTTTTCTCTTTCTTGTTTTTTATTTACAGCCTGGTTTGCCACCTCAGAACTTCTCAATGTCTGTCACAGTCCCTGTGACCAGTCCTAATGCTTTATCCTACTCTAATCCAGGGAGTTCACTTGTGTCGCCATCTTTGGCAGCCAGCTCAACATTAGCAGATTCAAGCATGCTATCTCCACCTCCAGCTACATTACATAGAAATGTATCCCCAGGAGCTCCTCAGAGACCACCAAGTACTGGCAATGCAAGTATGTAGTAACATCTGTACTGCTAGTTCTTTAACAAAGAAGATAAAAAAACTAGTTGCTAACATAGTAAGTTTCTTATTCTGTTAGTCTTAATTTTATTGTCTGAATGAGCAGGAGTCACTGCTACATAACTGAAGTATTTTTTGAATGGCTACCATGGGACTAATCTACTATGAGACTATTTTGGCAGGCAAAGTAGAACAACATAGAGAACCTACCATGTATCACAGTAGGTTCCTTATCATGAGAATATTTAACAGGCAGAACATTTAATTAGTATATCATGAATAGAGATTTAAAGTTGATTTTATGTGAGCCATCCTGCTAGAAATGTGGAAATAAACTCATCTGATGAGAGTTAGTGGATTTTTTTTTTTTTTTTTTTTTGGCGTTTCTTTCTACCTGATTTGGTTAAGCAAGCAGAAATTTGCAGTGTATTTGCTGCATTAGCCTGTGAGATTCAGTATTTCCTTTCTCTTAAATCCTAGATTTGGTGATATTCAATATATACTATCTCCATTCTTATTTATATATATCATTTGGTATTAATAACACAGAAAAGCAAAACTCATCCAGAGCTTACTAGGTAAATTCCTGTGTGTGGGTGTACACACACACACACACACACACCATGTATAGTAATGTATGTTACATGTATAGTTTACACATATATATATATGTGTGTGTGTGGTACAGAATATATCAAATCACACATTAATGTGAACTTCAGACTGGGCTAGTTTTTATTTTGATGTTTTTTAGGAGTGGAGTGAAGGTTAACATCATGTTCAGTTCATACTCAAATAAGGAGAGTTCATTTATATTCATTCTCTGCCCTTCTCACCTCTTCATAATGTTGTTAGGTGGGATGTTGAGCACTACAGACCTCACAGTGCCAAATGGAGCTGGAAGCAGCCCAGTGGGTGAGTGAATTCCTACTGTTTAATTTTGTTGGCATCTGTCTCGTTTGAAATATAAGGAATATTGTCCCTGAAACTAGGCCCCTCTATCTTCTGAGGGATAATTTAACTAATACTTAACATTTTCTTGGAATATTCCTTTTATTGATCTTAAATTCAGTTACTCTTTATTCAGTAAATATTTATTGAGTGCTTCCTCCATAGCAGATATTGGGTTTTTACTAAAGACTAGATGGCCTTACTGTACTATGATGATTTTGAGTCCTTTGGGTATAAACCAAGGAGTAGGATAATTGAGTCAGATGGTGGTTCCATTCCAAGTTTTCTAAGAAATCTCCATACTGTTTTCCAGAGTGGTTGTACCAATTTGCAGTCTCACCAGCAATGTATGAGTCTACCTTTTCCCCCACATCCTCGCCAACATTTATTGTTAATTGTATTCTTGATAATTGCCATTCTGACTGGAATGAGATGGAATCTCAGTGTAGTTTTGATTTACATTTTACATTTACATTTTTGATTTACATTTTTCTGATTGTTAGAGATGTTGAACTTTTTTCATGTTTTTTGTCTGTTCATGTATCTTTTGTGAAGTGCCTGTTTAGTTCCTTAGTCCATTTATTGATTAGTTATTTGGGGGTTTTTGGTGTTAAGTTTTTGAGATCTATGTATATTCTGAAGATTAAGGCTCTATCTGAGGTGCTGGTGGTAAAGATTTTCTCCCATTCTACAAGCTCTTTATTCATGTTTTGATGGTTCCCTTTGCTGTGAAGAAGCTTTTTAAAAAGTTTGATACCATCCCATTTGTTGATTCTTGATTTTACTTCTTGCTGGGCATGGTGGTGCACCCCTGTAATCCCAGTGGGTTGGCCCTAAGCAAATCAGTGAAACCCTGTCTGTAAGTAAAATACTAAAAAGGGCTAGGGATATGGCTCAGTGGTTAAGTGCCGCTGGGTTCAATCCCCAGTCCCGTTCCCCCCTCCTCACCCCCCCAAAAAAATTACTTCTTGCGCTTTAGGAGTCTTATTGAGGAAGTTGGTTCCTGAGCTGACATGCTGGAGAGTTGGGCCTACTTTTTCTTCTTGTAGGCACAGGGTCTCTGGTCTAATGCCTAGGTCCTTGATCCACTTTGAGTTGAGTTTTGTGCAAGGGGGGAGGTATGGGTTCAATTTTATTCTATTACATATGGATTTTGAATGGATAAAGAAAATGTGATGTACACACATACAAACACACACACACACAATGGAATATTAGTCATAAATAATGAAATTATGGCATTTGCTAGTAAATGGACGAAACTGGAGAATATCATGCTAAATGAAATAAGCCAGTCCCAAAAAATCAAAGGCAGAATGTTCTCTCTGATATGTGGATGCTAACCCACAAGAAGGAAGGGGAAGAATAGAATCTTGTTGTGTTAGACAAAGGGGAACAAAGGGAAGGGATGGGGCATGAGAATAGGAAAGACAGTAGGATAAATTGGACATAATCTTCCTGTCCTTACATGAATACACAACCAGTGTAATGCCACATCATGTACAACCACAATAATGGGATCCTAATTGGAACAAATTGTATTTATTCTATGCATGTATAGTATGTCCAAATACACTTTACTGTCATTTATAACTAGAAAGAACAAATTAAAAACAAAACAGATTTGATTGCCTTAGTGTGACATCTACACTGAGATAGTTTCTTCAGAAGAAGCTTTCTATATCTTCTGTCCTCACCAAAGTTAGACTGTTAGTGACCTGCTTTTTTCTTACAACAGATTAAAATGGTTTTAGAAAGATTGGAATGCAAAGAAATGGTGGGCCTACTTACAGAGATGGAAGGAGAACTGAGAGATCTGTCTCAAGGATTTGCTTTGGTGGTCACATGTAGAACATTGACCTTTAGCATAGTTGCAGCTGGATAGATTATTTTACTTGTGGGGCTCCACCTAAGATCACTAGCAATTTAAACACATGTCATAAATGTGTTTGCCCACCCCTGACATGCTGATAAAAATATATTATGATCTTAATATCATAAAAACATAATATATATGTCAAAAAGTTACAAGAATAAGTGTAGCCCTTTGGATTTTCTTTATACTAAGTCTTCTTGTTAATATGTGCTAGTGACATTTGTCATTGTTATCTGAAAGCAAGGTAGGAATTTACTCCCTCCATAGATATTGTGTGTCCTGGAAACATCTGAAAACAGAACACTTATAGGAAATACTGTCAAATATTTATTCCACAAGAATATAAGGAGCCTCTACCTTAAGAAGATTAGGTGGGTGACTAAATTACTTTTAAAATAAGAGAGAAATAAACACACATTATTGAGTGAGACAAGTTACAAAATGTATAATGACTTTAATGTAGGAATTAATGCCTAATTATACCTGTACTGCTTTAAATTGTCTTAATGGAATTTAAACAGATAAAACCTGTTGTAGGTCTTATCTCTTATATGAGAACATACATGAAAGTCTTATCAATTATACATTAAGACTGCAATGTGGCTTTTTTCTTTTGGACACAATTTTAATTGTTTGTATCCCATATCTCTTTTGTATACATTTTCCCTTATGACCCTCCCCACAGCAAAACTATAAGTTCAGTGCCTACCAAAATTGGTAGAGCCTAATATCTTCCTCCTTGCAGCAGTATCTGATATTTGCACCATCCCACTTCTTCAATTCATTTGTGGTAGTTTACTGTTAGGGGCCCCAAAAATGCCTGAGAGGCAAATAAGCTATAGAAGAATAAAGCCACTATCCCAGGCCTTATTATTTCTCTTGGCACATAAGCAAAACTAACTAGGCACACTCAGAAGCATAAAACATAAATGAAAACCTGTAGGGAAAAAGAACAGTAGAATCAGCCTCCTGAATTTGGAGTTATTAGGCGAAGATAAAGAAAATATTGAGAATTTAGACAGAGAACTGGAAACTTATTTTTAAAAATGGAAATTTTAGAACAAAAAATACCATGTTTTAAGAACTGAACAGACCAGTCTTGTAACATATTGAACAAAGCAAATAGTAGAGTTAATAAACTAAAAGAAAAAAACAGGAAATAATTAGAATTTTTGAGACATGAAAAGATGAAAAATCGAGGAGAATAAGACTGAGAGGATACAATGAAAAAGCCCAATATACATTAAGTTGTAGTTCTAGGAAGCGAAAAACCAGAGAAACTTGGGCAAAAGTAGTATTTGAAATAGTGATTAGTATTATCCAAAACCAGTCCTCCCCCCCAAAAAAAACCCTCAGATTCAGAAAGTTCTACAGAGTTCACATGCAATACAAGTGATATACTTATGAGAAATTTTAGAATAGAAATTTGGGGATGTACCTCAGTGGTAGAGTGTTGCATGAATTCTCTGAGAAAGATAAAGTCTTTTATGTGGTTCTGAGGATCGAACCCAGGGCCTCGCACATGCTAGGCAAATGCTCTACAGCTGAGCCACAATCCCAGCCCGTAATGTTGCTTCTTTAGGGCTACTTCCCAGGAGAGGTGAAAAGGGAGACGATAGTATTCAAGTAGGATTTCATGAGCATTGTATGTTTTCTATTACAAATTTCTAATGGATAGAGATTCATGTTGTCCATCATACAGGACTTTTCATCAAATTAAGTGAATGGGGTCATCAATTATTTCAAAACCTGTGGTCTTTTTTTTAGTTCCAGAAACCTCAAGCAATTCTTTATACGAATAATACAATTTGAAAACTTTAAAAATACGTTTTTGCTGATTTGTTGAATAATCTGATGCATGCTTGTCAAATTTTATGGAATGCTCATCACGTATGATAAAATCAAGTTTTGCACGTTGCTGTGTAGAATTTTTTCAGAATGCTTCGAAGTTTTGCTTGTCAATTAATGTATTCACAGCAAAACATTAATGACATTACTGTCTAGAGTTTAGCCCTGAATGAGTAGTATTAAGGACACAGAATATTTTCCAGCCACTTGAATATGCATTATTTAAGCTGACATGAATATTTACATTCTGAAATATGAGCCAGATTGATAATTGGATAACCTACCTAACATCTGGAAACTATAATTGAAATTAGATCTGTTGGGGCTGCGTTTGTGGCTTAGTGGTAGAGCACTTGCCTAGCATGTGTGAGGCATTGGGTTTAATCCTCAGCACCACATATAAATAAATGAATAAAATAAAGGTCCATCAACAACTAAAAAATATATTTTAAAAAAGAAAATAGATCTGTTAAGTTTCTGGAGCATAGGTATGCAGCTTGCTCAAGAGTATTTTTTTTTCACATTGTTATTAGAGTAGGAAATTACCATGATAACTTAAAACACATTTTAACAACAGTCACATTAAATTAGGCTTATAGTAGTGTCAATTATAGTAGACACTTTAATTCCTAAATTTATAAGTTGTAGCAAGATGAGTTATTTACTGAAAGTATCTGCTGCACAAGTCTATCTCAACAGTATATTCATTTTTTCATAAAATTGGAGGTAAGAAGGCATATAAGTTAGTATACCACTCTACAAAATAACAAATAGTACATATGAAATTATCTTAGCTTTAGCCTGGCAAGTTACCAAAAACTTATATCATCTTGCAGTCATTATCTGCTGCAGACTCCTGACTTCACACTTAGATCGCCTTTCCTTCTTACAACTCAATTCTTATGAGTTACTATGGTACCATATAAAAAACATCATAGCCAGGTGTGGTGGCAGGAGGATCCCAAGTGTGAGACCAGCCTGGGCAATTTGGCAAGACACTGTTTCAAAATTCTTAAAATTTGAGGAAAAAAAGTTCTGCGGATACATCTCAGAGGCAAAAGTCTCCCAGGTTTAAAACCCTCCAAAAGCATTTTAGACTCCACAGTGGAAAATAGTATTCATGCTTCTTGATGATATGTTCTTTTAAATTCTGTATTTACATCATATAATGTCTTTGAGAGGAAATACTGCTTTTATTCTTCATATTTGAAGAATATGCAAATCAAATATTCTAGATATCAGATACAGAAAATATTCATGCCATTATATATTAAGAGAAACTGTTAATTCTTGTATTGCTGTGCAATACCACTTCTATTAAAACGTCTCATTTTGAATAAAATTATTTGAGAAACATTTGTGTTCTCCAGATGTCTGACTTAGCAGTTACTTCTGCCCAACTCAGCTTTCTGAAGGATGCAGGAAATTGCTCTGTGGGTTGTGGAAAAGAGATTCAGCCCAGATTTTATACAAACCCTTTCAAGATAATGGAAACAATTCATGAAGTAGGCTCATAGGGTTGACTGAAATACCAGTTCTCACAGCAAAATTAAATCAGACATATGAATTAAAACTTGTAGGTCACTTTGTAAGCAGTTTCAGAAAAAAACAAAAGGAATTAGGTGAAAAGGAGGAAAAGAACTAAATAACATCTAGAACCCTGAAATTCGGAATGAATGACACCTGCTAGAGAGAAGCAACCATTCCTAGGTGCCCTACTTAGCATTTCTTTTCTTTGCCCCCAGGCTTTCAGAACTGAAGCATGAAATATAGTGATTAGGATTCAACAAAGTTGATTATATCACATTAGCAAAACGTTAAATTTTTAATTCTCAAATAACTCAACTAAATAGTGTATCTTTTTCAAACTAAATATAAGAAGAGCCAGGTGTGGTGGCATCCAACCTCAACAACTTATCGAGGCTCTAAGCAACTTAGTGAGACCCTGTCTCAAGTTAAAAAGTAAAAAGGGCTTGGGTGGTAAAGCACTCCTGGGTTTAATTCCCAATATCCCGTGCCCCCCAAAAATGTACATTAAAGCCTTCATTTTCTTCAGAAAGTTATATTTATAAACTCTCTTAATCCATCTCTTTCTAGTAATAGTTTTCCAAATTTTAGAATTCATATGTCTATCAGTTGACCTCTTTATTATTATTGTCTTTGAAAGTGCTTTATAATCTGCCAAGTACAGTATATTTTGATTTTTTTTTTTTTTTTTTTTTTTTTTTTGGTACCAAGGATTGAACCCAGAGGCATTTAACCACTAAGCCACATTTCCAGCCCATTTTATTTTTTTTATTTTGAGAGAGGGTCTCACTAAGTTGCTTAAGGTCTTGCTAAGTTGTTGAGGCTAGCCTTGAATTTATGATCCTCCTGCCTTAGCCTCTTAAGCCACTGGGATTATATGCATGTGCCACCCCACATGGTTTACAGTATGAATTTTAAGTGGTTTGTTTGCTTCTTTGTTTATTCATTTGTTTGTTTATTCCAGGGATTGAACCCAGGGTGCTTAACCACTAAGCCAGCCTTTTTTAATATTTTATTTAGAGACAGGGTCTCACTGAGTTGTTACATACTTCACTAATCTCCTGAGGCTGCCTTTGAACTTTTGATCCTTCGGCGTCAGCCTCCCGAGTTGCTGGGATTTCAGGTGTGCACCATTGCACATGGCTTAAGTGGTTTTAAATTATCGTGCTTCTTTTCTATTTAAGAAACATCGGGAGAATCAAAATTATCTAAGTATCATTTCACTTCTCTAGAGTTCAGTCTTCTCAGGATAGAGTATTAGGAAGAATTTTAGATCAGTGTTAAGTACACAGCAGACATTCAGTTTTGGTTAGTCCTTCCATATATGTTAGTAAAAGAGGTGTGTGTGTAACATATCTATTATGTACTTATTTTTAGTGAATTTTTAAGTTTTCTCTTTTTCTTTATAATGGCTAAAAAGCAGTAGAACAAATATAGCTACCCTTTCCTTTTGATTGTCCCTGGAGCCATGGGTTTTCTAGGCTGTCTTACCTGCAATTGCTTACACCTATTCATTTATGCCTTGAGCCTATCATTTTTTTTTCACATTTATCCATTAGGCTTCCCTTCTGTTTTCTTCTCTCATTCTTCTGTCTTTTCAAACTACTCAGAGGTTAGTCCTACAAAGGCTTCCCTAATTATGCCTACATACTTGAGACCAGTGCATACTTCCTGTTTTCTTTTAAGTTTTATGTGGTTACCCTTAGTTGCATTACTTTTGCCCATACTTTAAGTATAAATTTGATATATTCATACCTCTGCAGTGTGTTCTTGCTAACTAGAGGAAAAGTTACTTGAAGACCATGAAGGCTTTTTTGTTTTGCTTCTTTTGCCCTCCCAACAGTACTTTACATACAATAGAGGTTGAACCATTTTTACATGGTTGCACTTATTGATAACATGTGAATTCTGAGCTCTACCCAGAGAGCTTAAATCTTCTTCAGCCCTTCAGAATTCTAGTTAAGAATTCTGAATATTTTGTTCTTGGTCAGCTCTGTAATACACACTAGGAATAAAATTGTTAATTATAAATTTATTTTGTACAGTGCTTTTAAGTTAACCTCTATATGCAAAATAGAAAAGGCTTACTCAGAATTTTTCAAATTAGAATAATATTACCATATTTATGGCAATAAACTTCTTTTATTACTAAAAACAAATGCTATATGTGGTAAACCTATAGTTTTTATGTTTTGTTTTTAAAATTGCTGGTCTTTAAAAAATTGAAACAAAATTAATTTTGTATGAACAGTTAACACTATTTTATGTCTAGTAATTCAGTTTTCATAAGATATTTTTACAAATTCATTGTATAATGTTTTCTATTCTTCACTGGTTTATTTGCAATAAACTTAGAAATCTAAATACCATATGATACATAGTTTCTTTTATAAACGAATATTCATTACATGTTTTTGTATACTTGTTTCTTAGCTGATGAATAGTAGATAATTCTAATAGTATAGCATCAGTTGCAGCTCAGAGAAAGCTACCCTTAGGCTTAAATGGCATTGGTATCTGTTATTAACTTCTAAGTGGTACAAACTGCAAACATAGTTTAATTTTAAAGAGGTTTTACTTCCTTTCTTTGGTATTCTCTTTTCTTTATCAAGTTTTTTTCTCATTTTGTCTTTCTTCTAAATCTCAAAATGACTTAAGAATAATATGCTTCCTTGGAAATATTTGTTGGAATATTCCTGAACTCAGTCACTGTGGTGGGCAAGAATGTTTTATATTCATTGCCTTGGACCCAAGTCAAATGTCTTGTCATCCAGCCAATTTGTGGCAAGGGGATGAGGCTTGAGGCGTGGAGTCATCCCCACCCAATCCATAGACTACTACACACAGAAGGGACTAGAATATCTAGAATGTTTATGAAACCAAATACATTTATATCTCAATTGGTGACCAAAAGTTCTGCGTGCACAGAACATGTACCACAATGTACCTATTTCCTTATTTCACCTAAGGGAGATTGACACTTCTATTAGGGAATGTTAAAAGGTAGGAATAAGATGATTAAAATTAGATAAACCATAATTATTTAGTACGGACATTAATGTAAGCTGAAGAAACAGAACAGGAAAAAGTAGAGCTACTAAAAGAAGTTCTTGGTGGAAATGAGGCATTAAAGCTGAGTGCTAAGTAATCTGCAGTTAAGGAGTTGCCTGAAACCTAGTGTAGTACCTAGAACCTAGTATAGGGGTACTTTTGTGTCCTAAGAATGAAAGCACAGTCATTTTTTAAAACACTGTCTCCATTATTATAGTCCCCAATATGAGATGACGTATTAGGAATGTGTGTTGTATTTTAAATGCTTCTCATAGATGTGGCATTAGTGTTCAGTTTTATAATATAAGTGTTTGAGACTTTGGTTGACTAACTTGTTTACTTATTTTTAAAATATTGAAAGATACCTGGTTAGTTACCCTAGTGAGTTTTATTAAATCCATTTGCAACTCAGACTGGGCAAATGTGCTTTGTATTTATGACAAAGTATTTTAATGACTCTTTTCACATTAATAAATTTTCCAGGGAATGGATTTCTAAACTCAAGAGCTTCTCCAAATATGATTGGAAATACTGGTGCAAATAGTTTAGGCAAAGCCATGCCTACAAAGTCTCCCCCTCCACCAGGTGGTGGCAATCTTGGAATGAATAATCGGAAACCAGATCTTCGAGTTGTCATCCCACCTTCAAGCAAGGGCATGATGCCTCCACTCGTAAGTTGAACCTCTCTTCAGCTTTATTCTTTACAACACACATTTTATACATAGTCAGTCTGTATCTGCCTTTAGAATTTTCTGTGTGTCTTCACAGCCCACAAAACTTTTTTGATATATATTTGTATTCAAAATTAGTATTTGAAGAGACAATTCTATTTGAAATGCACAAAAATTACATTATGGAAAAATAAGAAACAAATTTTTCTTAGTGTTTATTTGAAATTAAAGCTAAATATGGAGAAGTTATTATGTTAGTTCTAATTTTACCAGGCTAAAATCTTTGCTTAGAGATCTCATTCCCAAATTCATAAGTTAATTATGACTTATTTCTTCTCTGTACTTTGAATCTTTCAGTAATTTATTATATTCTTTTCTGAGAAAGAAACATTAAATTATTTGTTAGAAATTCTACATACCAGAGAGAACTATTACAGAATAGTTTATTCATACAAACTTTAGATGAGCTACTCTCCAAATAATTTTTTGCTTATTCCGTCTCAAATAACCTTTCTATTTAACTCTGTAAAGAATGCAATACCCCCGCCCCCAACTTCTTGACAGTGTCTTTAGGACTTGAGAGTTCTAGCCTCATTTGCTTTTTAATCCCATGTCTGTGTTTGTAATGGAGCAAAAGAATATGTTTTTCCCCCTTAGCTTCTTGTAGAAAAAAATTAGAAAACATATGCCAGGTTTAAAGCAATTTTTAGTGTAACAACTGCTTGAATATTAGCATACTAAGTGATGTGCCAAGTGTTCTTTACCAGGTGCAGCTGGTAAACATGTCTTTTATGTTTTTGCTAAGTGAAAGTGAGGCTATCAGGCTTAGATAATAATTCTATATTTGTTTTTATAGATTACAAAACATTATATATGCATTCTCTCATCTGATTCTCAATTAGACTTTGTGAATAAGGAAAGATGAGAAAACTGAGCTAAAAATGCCAGGACCTTTGAGACTTAGTCTTGTACTCTACCCAAGTCAAAAAACAAAGAAGTACTTTTTCATTTGGGTGTACAGAAAGCTGAAAGCTGTAACACTCCGAACTTTATAATGAAAAAACAAACAAACAAAAAACTTGAACGTACAGCAGATTCACAGTTTTCCTTGAATCCATTATAGTGCAAAGATTTCAGGGCAGTCAGCTGGCCTGAAGCTTAGGGAAAGACAGAGGCTATGGGGAGAGAGAGGAGATTAGGGCACTGGGCAGGTCACCATGACAGGAGTTAAACTAGGGTGGTTAGTGAATTACTAGAGACCAGGTGTGCACTGGCAGGGCTATTTGAAACATTTGGGTTCACAAAGTAGGGTGAATCTGTCTTGTCTTATAGTCTTTTCCATCATGAGCCCCATTGAATACTCCATATGAAAAATCAGGAATGTCCTGGAAAAGCCTCCATTGAAGGAGAGAAGGGGGAGAGTGGCTACGATATTAGGAGCCAAAACATTTGTTTGAATCTTTCTATCCTTTTTCTTCCATGAAACAAAAACCTCTGTGAGGAAGTAAACAACAGTGTGACTCTTAGGGCACTGGAGAAATCACATTGTATCTGGGGAAATAGAAAAGGAAAGCTATCTCAGTCTATGATGGAGGAGCAGGAAGACAGGTTAGGTGCACAGCAGTGCCATGAGAGTGGCTATATGACTGAGAAGGCCACAACCTGTAGCACATTAGAGAGGTGATAGCTTAAAACATAATGGGACAATCAGGGTAATAAACTGGGTAAGCCAGGACCCACCTGCAGAGGGATTTGAGCCTGTGATAGAAACACTTGAGAGTATTGATAGCAACAGTAAAGATCAAACACTGTTCAATTTCTAAGAAAATTAATTAATACCTATTACTACAGGCCCATTTGAAGGAATTGCATTGTCTATAAGTCAATAGGAATTATCTATATTGAAATTCAAAGAAAAATCAAAACAAAATCAAACACTGAACAAAGTATCCTAGAACTGTGGAATTTGTAATTGGAATTCCCCCTCAAAAAAAAAGAACAGCAGGAATAATAACAAAGTAGGATGAATGCTATCAATACCCACACATATACACATATATATTTAGATTGCTAAAAGCAAAAGACAAGAAAAATCAAAGACAGCCAGAGAAAAGAGACATATTATACACAGAACAAAGAAAAACTCTTAACCCAGAATTCTATACCTAGCAAAATCGTTTTACAAAAATACGATTAAAATATTTTCTTAAACAAAAATCATGAGAATTTATTGCCAGCAAATCTACTCTACAAGAAATGTTAAAGTCCTTCTGTAGAAAGAATGTTATGTCAGCAAAAACTTGAATCTACACAAAGAAATGAAGAACAGTGGAAATGGAATAAGCAAAGATAAATCACTTTTCCCCTACTTCTTATATAAATCTTCTATTTTCAGTTTTAGATTTATAGAAAGATTATAAAGATAGTATAGAACATTTGCTCATACTGTGTCAAATTTCTTCTTAATTTATATTAGTATGGTACATTTATTAAAACTAATGAACTAATATTGATATAGTATTATTATCTAATGTTTTTGAGGAACACTGGTTACATATTTTGTAGGATGTGTCTCAGTTGAGATTTGTCTGATGTTTTTATCATGATTAGACAGGGATTATTGGTTTTAGGAAAGAATGCCATGTAATTAAGGTGCCATTGTCATCATACTGTGTCCAGGGTGAATACTATGTACTGACTAATTGCTACTCTTAACTTGGTTACCAGGCTAATCTAAGTGTTTAACAAGTTTTCTGTTTTACTTCCTTGTTTTCCCCTTTCCATACTGTAGTTTTTGGAAGGAGATCACTATATGCAGCCCAGCTTAAGGAATGGGAATTAAGACTATCTACCTCCCTGAAGGAGGAGTATCTACATAAATTATTTAGGTTCTTAGGTATAGACTTATCTGATCTTTCTCATTTGTTTAAATACTTATTTATCTAAATATGACTTGACTCATAAACATTTGTTTTAAATTTTGGGTTATAATGAAATACCACTTTTTTTTTTTTCCTAAACTGTTCTAGCTTTAACTTTTGGGAGCTGTTCACTTCTTTCCTTTGTCCCTTTGATATACACTTATCTTTGTGGAATTTTTTGCTTGTTTTGTTTTGGTTTTGATGGCGGGTGGAGGGAGGGTACATTTTTACTTTCTGGAACTACTAGGCTCATCTCATGTATTTCCTGGGCTAGTCTTAAAGTCAGGCATTTCTCCAAGGAACCCTGGTTCATTTTACTGGACAATTATTATTAGTGTTTCCTTCTTTTTAATTGCTCTAAGAGGTAGCTGATTTTATAAAGTAAATATGTTGGCAGTATATTTTCTGTCTATAGCATATGTAAAAATAAAATATATAACAACAAAGGATGGGAGGGAGGAATTGGATATACACTGTTGTAGGTCCTTATTCCACACATAACATACAAAATGTTATTTAAGGTGAACTCTGATTAACTATGTATATTGTAAACCTTAGAGTATCTACAGAAAAAGAAATTTAAAGAAGTTAAATAATAAGTAAATAGAGGAGAGTAAGTATAATTATGAAAAATCCTCTGACAGTTAAAGAACAGCACAAAATTTTAAAAAGCAAGATGGTAGATTTTAATCCAACCATTGAATGTGGTCAGAATACATCAAAGACAGACTGTCAGATTTGTTTTTTAAGAAAGGTAAGGCCAAACAATATATAAGAAACCCATTTTAAAGACATAAATGGATGGAGAAAAATATACTATGCAAATAATAACCAAAAGAAAGCTGAAGTAGTCATAGTGATTTCTGACAGTATAGATTTACAACAACAAATATTGTCAGGGAAAGAGAAACATTACATAGTTCATTTTTCAAGAAACAACACCTCAGACCTCCAAAATATGTAAAGTGAAAACTGATAGAATCAAAACATGAAATGGAAAAATGCACAATGGCAGTTGTAGTCTTCAAAATTCTTCTCTCAGTATCACTCAGCCAGCATTGCTGAACATCACTCAGCCAGCCTGGCCTAAAACAGTGTTTTGTTTATAAAACACTCAACAGCAGCAGGACACATGCTTTTCTCATGTATATGTAAAACATTCACCAAGATAGATCATCCTGTGCCATAAAACCTACCTTAGCAATTTTGAAGAATTGAATTCATACCTATTATATTTTCTGGCTCTGATGAAATAAAACAGGAAACCAATAACAAAAAGACAATAGGAAAATATTCACATACTTAAAAAATATACTCCCCCTGCCCTGCTGTGCTGGGGATTGAACACTGGACCTTTTGCATGCTACCTAAGTACTCTGCCTGTTTGGAGCTATATCCTTGGCACCAGTTAATACACTTTTAAGTAACCTGCAGGCCACAGGTAATCTCTAGGGAATTTTACAATTGTATATGCTGAATGAAAGTATAACATATCAAAATTTTGAGGATTAAGATAGAATAATACAGGCAGAAAATTTATAGTGTTAAATGCATATGTTAGAAAAGAAGAAAGGTCCCAAGTCAGCAATCTAAGCTTTTAACTTTAAGATCTTGAGAAAGAAGAACAAATCTAATCCAAAGCAAGCTGAAGGGAAAAAAAATAGAGTGGAAATCAATAAAATTTAAGCCAAGAAAGCAGTAGAGGAAAGTAATCAAACCAAAAAATGGTAGTTTTTTTTTTTTTTCTTTCAAAATTTCAATTGGTAAGTCTTAAGTGATGCTGATCAAAGGAAAAAAGACCAGGTTATCAATGTTGAGAATGAAAAAGGGTACCTCACCCCAAAGATACTAGTAGATAAGAAAATACTACAAACAACTGTGTTCTGATTAATTTGATAGTTTGGATTAAAAGGGCAAATTGCTTGAAAAATACAAACTATCAAGGAATTACTAAGTGCAACAATAAAGAAATAGTTAACCTGAATGCTAAATATTTGTAAAGCAATTGAAGTGCTAATTTTAAAGGCTTATAAAGGAGAAAATTTTCAAACCAATTCAGTTTTGCTAGCAAATTCTACC